TTCCTGGGTGAGAAAAGCAACAGGCCTCAGCCTTCCAGATTTCAGTTTCCTCAGCAAGAAAGATGGGATTAAATGTCTTCGGGAGGATTAAAAATGTGCAAATGAGATTATGCCTATGACTTTATCTGGCCTGACTGAATCACAGGAGATCCCTCTGCCCTCCAACCAGCATCTCTGAACTTCCTCTCACCTCCACCCTGGTCCACCCCTTCCTCTGCAGAGGAGGAGCCACCCTTCTCTGCTCCACCCTCTTATATAAATTCAGGTCAAGCTCTCATCACAGACCACACCATCTGGTGACAGACTGGCTTCAAGGGCCCTTCTGGGAGAACGGTCTCTGCGACCAGTTACAGACGGTCCAGGACCTGCTGCTCGGAAGAGTCTGGAGGCGGAACTCATGTGGCTTCGGGAGGTAAGACCTGGGCTGGGGCTTCCTGAGCACCCAGCCGAGACTCGAATTTGGTTTATTCTATTTACTTATTTATTTCAATTAAAATTGACATTCAATATTATATTAGTTTCATGTGGACAGGGTACTGGTCAAACATTTACATATATACCTTATGAAGTGATTCCCCCATAGTAAGTATAGTACCCCCATTCCTGAGCACCCAGCCAAGACAGGCTGAGACATTGCACATTGTAAGGGAATCCAAACTCGAATTTGGTTTATTCTATTTATTTATTTATTTCAATTAAAATTGACATTCAATATTAGTTTCATGTGGACAGGGTACTGGTCAGACATTTACATATATACCTTATGAAGTAATTCCCCCATAGTAAGTATAGCACCCCCAACACTGTACATGGTTATTATACCATTATATATTCCCTGTGGGGTTTGACTTAATTAATTAATTAATTTTATTGATAGGTCTTAGAGAGAGAGGACGAGAGAGAGATTGATTCATTGTTATAGTTATTTATGCAGGCGGGGGCAGACATGGCAGTTTGAGCAGCAGAACCACAGGAACCAACCAAGCAGAAACCATGAACTGTTTGTGGACTCAAAGCAGGAGGCATGGGAAACCAAAGGAGGGCCTGCAGTAACCAAGACGTATGAACACATAGAAACAGAAAAAGTTCAGCGTAGGAACAGAGAAAGAACACATAGAAACAGGGAAAGTCAGGTCCGTTGCCTGTTACTGGGCAAAAACAATTGAGGGAATCAATCAGGTTGATGACACAGGGAAACCTAGAGCAGGCTTGTGGCAAATATATACCCCTGGGCTACAAGGCTTTAACGGGCAGCCCATTATTGGGTCCCCCTCCCCTTTCGGGGAGTCTGAATCTGCTTATAATACATTTTCTACACTTTTGCTTAAATCTTCTGGTCTGCAGAGCTCATTCTTCGGCGTCTCGAGAAACGACCCCCGGGATAAACACCTTGGCTCACCATTCAGGTTATCACATATATAATACGTTTTATTACGGTTTGGGTCCCTTAGTGAGCCTTGTCCAAATGCTAAAAACGCAATGATCTGCCCTGGCTGGTTTGGCTCAGAGGCTAGAGCGTTCTCCCGTAGACTGAAGGGTCCCAGGTTCGATTCTGGTCAGGGTCACATGCCCGGGTTGTGGGCTCAGTCCCTTGGAGAGAGGTCACCCAACCTCCTTATACCTTTCCTGCCTGCCCATCCTTACCTGTCTTCTGTATGGGAGGGGGTTAAGTTGAAATGCAGGCAGGTAGGGCAGGGTCCAGTGGAAAACAAAGGCAGGTGAAACATAGGCAGGGGCAGACATGGCAGTTTGAGCAGCCGAACCACAGGAACCAACCAAGCAGAAACCATGAAATGTTTGTGGCCTTAAAGCAGGAGGCATGGGAAACCAAGGGAGGGCCTGCAATAACCAAGACCTATGAACACATAGAAACAGAAAAAGTTCAGCGTAGGAACAGAGAAAGAACACAGAAACAGGGAAAGTCAGGTCCGTTGCTGGGCAAAAACAATTGAGAGAATCAATCAGGTGACGACACAGGTAGACAGAGCAGGCTTGTAGCAAATATATACCCCTGGGCTACAAGGCTTTATCGGGCAGCCCATTATTGGGCCCTCCTCCCCTTTCGGGGAGTCTGAATCTGCTTATAATACATTTTCTACACTTTTGCTTAAATCTTCTGGTCTGCGGAGCTCATTCTTCAGTGTCTCGAGACAGGACCCCCGGGAAAAACACCTTGGCCCGTTCAGGTTATCACATATATAATACGTTTTATTACGGTTTGGGTCCCTTAGTGAGCCTTGTCCAAATGCTAAAAACACAATGATCTTCCCTGGCTGGTTTGGCTCAGAGGCTAGCGTCCTCCCGCAGACTGAAGGGTCCCAGGTTCGATTCTGGTCAGGGGCACATGCCCGGGTTGTGGGCTCAGTCCCCAGACGGGGGCGTGCAGGAGGCAGCTGATTGGTGGTTCTCTCATCATTAATGTTTCTATCTCTCTCTCCCTCCCCCGTCCTCTCTGAAATCAATAAAAATATATTTTTAAAAAAACACACACAATGATCCCAACCTGACCTAAGGGTGACCAATAACTGTGTGTGACAAAGCACCAAGAGGTGCTAGTCTGAAGCTGCCTGTGGAATCCCTTCCAGGATGGCTCACTGAGGGCCGGTTTGTGTATAGCTGGGGAGTGGACAGATGAGAGCCTTGAGGCCCTGATATACCTCGTACTTCAATCCTTTGATCTTCCTTAAGCTAACCATCTGCTTGCTTGCAGGCACTTTTTTCTCAGATCTGTGGGGAATGCAGATCTCTCAAACCTGCATGAGTTTGCAGCAGTCAGTGAAAGGGGAATTCATGATTCTGTCCTTACTGTTCTGACCCTGTGTTAGGGGAAGTGAGCCATCATGGAGTCAGGGGAAGCTGGGATGAGAAAGAAGTGACAATGCAGTGGGAGCTGGCCTCAGCACTGGAGACAAACCTAAGGGGATCTGCTTGTACAGGTGCTGGGATCAGAGGGAGCTGAACCTGCTAGAAAAGGGAAGGAAGGTGACAGACAGGTGCAGACAGCTTGGTGCTGGCAGAAGCTGGAGCTGAGGGAAGGATTGTGGTCTTGAGTGGGAACAAGGCCTGTAGGGGAGGGTGATGATTAGATCCCTGTGGATAGAGGGCAAATGAGAGGAGGCTCCAGTAGATGCTGATGGACTTGGCGGCTAGAGGGGAGTTCTGGCGGCTAGAGGTAGCTTTGTCAAGGGTAGGAGTGGTGACCACAAAACATGTGTTCTTTGACCATAGCATCGTGAGTATGGACAGTCCGGGCTGACTGTTAGGCATATTTTCCTCCAAAAATCCTTTCTGACTTGTCAAAGGTCACCTGGCCATAAATGGGGGAGCCAGGATCTCAGCCCAGGCAACTTGGGTCAGAGTCTTTTGAAATCTTTGCCAATCCCATGAGATACTACAAAGAACAATGGCCCTTGTAGATCACTCTGATGTCTCTGGTGTTTTCAAAATGATCTGCTTTGATTTCACGATTGGTCATTTGTTTCTACGATTAATCCTCTTTATCCATTTTATTTATTTATTTATTCATTTGCTTATTTGTTTGGTTATTTATGTTAATCCTCCCCTGAGGATATTTTTCCATTGATTTTTAGGGAAAGTGGAAGAAAGACAGAGAGAAATACTCATGTGAGAGAAACACGTGGATTAGTTGCCTCCTGCAAGAGCCCCGACCTGGGCTGGCCAGGAGGAGCCTGCAACCCAGGTAGGTGCCCTTGACCTGCACAGACTGATGCTCTATCCTCTGAGCCAAACCAGCTAGGGCTATAGAAGCTATTTAGATAGTTTGACAAACTAATAGCAACTTTCTGATTTTCAATCATACCAGATGGCTTCCTCAGCCAAAGAGAATGAAAATGTTCTACCATAGTTGTAATCAATTATTTTATTTTCATTTTTTACTGTTAATAGACTTGCAAACAGAATTGCATGGGCCTGTAACCCTACACCACCACCCATTTAAGAAAGAGATAATTCAGAACAGTTCCCGGACGCAGGAGTAAGGTCTTCCTCTCCAGATATGCACCAACAGAACTTTCCACCCCTGACTCCTCCTTACCCCAGCCGGGGTGTAGGAAGTTGGAGCAGCGGGAGCAGCTACTGGGGTACCCCAGGCAGAGGCGAACCACGGCCGCCCTCGCCTAGGGACTGGTATGGGAGCCCGCATCACACGCAGTTGTACAGGCCCAGGTGTAGGCCCTATGGGAGCAGCCACTCTCCAGGACAGGGCGTCAGCCTCCTGTGGGGCCGGGTTGGGTCTCAGTCCCCTGGCGGCTGCCCTGGTTCCTATTCCAGGTCCCCCTCAGGGTCTCAGCAGCAATTAGGCTACTCCCCAGGGCAGCAGCAGGCCCACCCCCAGGCTTCTCCAAGGACACCTACACCTTTTGGATCAGGTCGTGGTAGAGAAAAAAGAATGTCTAATGAGTTGGAAAGTTATTTCAAACCTTCAATGCTTGAAGACCCTTGGGCTGGCCAAGAACCAGTATCTGTAGTGGACATAAGGCAACAATACAGCAATACTCAAACATTCACAGGCAAACAAGGAAGATACCTTTGTTAACATTTCTGAAATTCACTGGAAGCTTCATGTGTCAGGATCATCATGGACAAAACTTTCAGTTGCGTACTTAAATTCAACCTTGACATGGTGACTTTGATTGGATAATTAGTGGAGTCTGCTTGGTATTTTTCATCATATCAAACATAATTGATATTTGGGAGGAAACATGGTAGGATAATTTGCAATATGTAGCTCTCTGAAAGTGCCTGCCACATTTTAGGAAATTTACAGTTTCCAAATATTTAACATTCTTGGTTATATAATGGACATTTGTCTTTTAATGTTTTCCCAATGTTTTAAAATATTTTGTCTTCCTAGGCATATTGTGGTTTTGTCATATGCTAAAGGAATAGAAATATTAAAATAATGCTTTGTAATCAGAATTTGTAAGTAAATATTTTTCCTACTACTTTTCTTTTTGCGTACTACTTTTGAAAGTAAAAAGAAAAATCTTTTGAGCTGTAATAAAAAAAAGAAAGAAAGGAAAGGAAAGGAAAAAGAAAGGAATAGATAATTACCAGCACCTAAAAGCTTTTCTCATGTTCTTCCCAATCACTAGCCTGGCCCTCCTCCCCAAATGTTAGCACCATGCTGATGTCTAACACCTGTATTTCTCCTCCTTAGGACCTTGTCCCCACAAATCAATACCACTAGTGGGTGGGTCAACAGTAACAATGACTTCAAAGAACAATTGTTTGTGTGTTTGTTTCATTTTATATTGAAACCTTGATCTCCAATTTTATTCATTCTGAGCATGACATGAAAATCAGTTTTTTGAGTTGGAGGGTCCTCAAGGAAATCTAACCTCGTCGAAATCCCATCTACTTTTCTGTACAGAGCTGGATGTATCCTGCAGCTGAGAAGCTAAAGGAAAAACATGTAAACATGATATATTATGAATTCAGCACTATAAAAAATAAACTGTTTAAGCCAAACAGTGCCAACTCCTTTTCTTAGGTTTTTCTCAAGATTAAAATGATTGAAGTTGGGAATTTTATTCTTCTTTGCCACACTCTCTTAGAGATAAGACTGTTATGTAACTTTCCCCAGGTTTCCCAGATGATAGGTCACTAAGGATGGAAACTGACCCAGGATAGGTGATCTAATCCCAAATCATACACTTGCCACAGTCCCATACAGCACCATTGTGGGTGACTTGGTTTAGCTGGGTTGTGCTGATAGAGACACAAATCAGTGGTTGCTTCAAAGGTGGCAGTGAGCAGGACCACAATGGTAGCCTTTTTTACATGCAACAATCTTTTCTCATCTCCAGGAATGCACAGGCACTTTAGAACCATGTCTACTTTCTGACCAAGAATTTCTGAACTTGGACTCAACTAGTCTGCGATCAGCTGGAGGTGGTGAACGGAGCTCCTCTGGACACGAGCGGCCACTGGTCTCAGAGGAATGAGCCATTCAGGACAGTAAGGCCAGTGAGATCTGAGGGTGCATCTGCTTCTCGGTGGAGAGATCTCCCAGAGCACAGCTTCCTGAAGAAACCCACCTCAGGCCCGTCCTTCTTTCAGGGCCCAATGGCAGTTGATGCAGCTCTGGCAGGACTCCCGGCAGAAATCAACTGTCCCATCTGCCTGGATGGCCTGCGAGACCCTGTCACCATCGAATGTGGGCACAGCTTGTCCCTCCTGCACCCAGCAGTCCTGGGCTGATGTGCAGGACAGGTTCCCTTGCCCTGTGTGCCGTCACCCATGCAAAGAGAGGTGCTTGAGGAGCAACACCCAGCTGGGAAGGATGGTTGACATGGCCAAGCTCCTCCAGATCACCAGGGGCCAAGATGAAGCAGCAGGAAGAGAAGCGCTTGTGTGAGAAGCACAACCAGGCCCTGACCCTCTTCTGTGAGGAGGTCCTAAAGTTGTTGTGTCCCCTGTGCACTCAGCCCCCTGACCACCAGGGCCACCAGGTGAGGCCCATGGAAGAGGCTGCCTCTCATCACAGGCAAAGGCTCAGCAGTTACATTGAGCCCCTGAAGAAGCAGGTGGCAGACGCTCAGAAATCAATAAGCATTCAAAGCAAAAAACCCTTAGAACTGAGAGAGAAGGTGGAAACCCAAAGGCTGGAATTATTCTCTGAATTTGAGCACCTGAGGCAGTTTTTAGAACGTGATCAAGAAGCAGTTCTTTCAAGATTAGCTGATGAAGAGGCGATTGAAAAGAAACTCAGCGCTAATATAACCGAATTTTCAAAGTACAATTCCACACTCAAAGGCCTGCTAAGTCAGGTAGTAGAGTGCACGGTGCTGATGAATGTGGAATTGCTCTTACAAATCACAAGTTTCTACAAGCACTCTGAGGGGTTCAGCCCATCAATGTTTTCAGTCCAGTTACGGAGGGAAGGCTGCAGTTTTCCTTTCCAGTATTCTGCTTTGCAGAAAATTACAAAGACGTTTAGAGTAGATATCATTCTAGACCCTGAAACGGCACACCCTACCCTGACTGTCTCTGAGGATAAAAAATGTGTGCAATATACAAAGAGAATGCAAGCCATTCCTGATTTTCCAAAAAGATTTACAGTCAACACGGTTGTCCTGGGGTTTCCATACTTTCATTCCGGCAGGCATTTCTGGGAGGTAGACGTGGGAGACAAACCCAAATGGGAGGTCGGGGTTTGCAAAGATTCTCTGTCCACCAGGTGGAGGAGGAGCCCGTCGGCCTGTCGGGGATGCTGGCGGATTAGGCGGCAGGGGAATAGCTATGATGCCCCGGGAGCTGGCAGCATCCCTCTCTTGTCTGAAGTGAAGCCCAGAGGCATCAGCATTTTCCTGGACTATGAGATGGGGGAAATCTCATTTTATAACATGACTGACAAATCACACATCTATACTTTCACTGACACTTAATCGACCTCTTAGGCCTTATTTCTATGTAGGGCCTGACTCAAAACCTCTTAGGATCTCTATAGAAAAAGACTGAATGAAAACTTTCTAAGAGACTGGACCAGTTTAATAATTTTTTTTAAAATGGAAGGTGTGTGTGAATTAATACAATAGTGGGTATCATATTAATATGAGAGTAAATCTAATCCCCCTTCAATGGAAGGTGAAAGGAAGAAATGGTGGTCCTGTTAAACACACAGGAAGAGAGTTTCATTTTGTTTCAACAACACTGGACAAGATCTGAGGATTGTCCAGGTCCCACTGCACTCTTGGTTCAAGCTCTACCCAGTGCTTGGGATCTTCTGTTGCTGTTTACTTCGCTTCTTTACTCTTGAATTGGCCTGGGGTTCCTAAATCCCCCTTCCCCTCCAGGGTATTCTCTGACCTGGACTCCTATACCTTTGGGTGCCTTATTTCACTGATCCTAAAGGGCAGAAATCCTAGTCCTCTGTAAGCTACAAACCAGGGTCTGTCTTAGAAGTTTTTTTAGATGCACAGTATTTGCCTCCTGAATAGCATGCTTAACATTTAAATTGCTTTTGTGGTTTTTCTGTTTTGCTAGATCTGGTGTTTAGTTTCATTATTTTATAGTTTGCAGTGTTCATTATTGTGTTAAAAAGAGTGTTGCTGGTCACCCAGCTGACACATTGGAACCTGAGCATCCTAATGTTAGCTACAACGTTTTCTCTGTAAACCAAAGTTCATCCCATAAACCTTAGAAACGGACTAGATCCAAATGGAATTTAAAAATAAATAAGAATTAATCCATCTACCATCAGTGTTTTCCTTTTGAAAAAGAAATCAGCTGGCAGCAAAGTTTACAGACTCTTTCAGAACACAGAGACAGATTTTCAGAGAAGGCAATGGTTTGAGATATACTTACTAAAAAGGAAGGATAAGCCCTAGCTGGTTTGGCTCAGTGGATAGAGCTTCGGCCTGCCGACTGAAGGCTCCCAGGTCCAATTCTGGTTAAGGGCACATGCCCGGGTTGCAGGCTCAATCCCCAGAAGGGGGCGGGCAGGAGGCAGACGATCAATGATGTTTCTATCTCCCTCTCCCTTTCTCTCTGAAATCAATAAAAATATATTTAAAAAGAGCAGGGGGGGGGGAGAAAATGGGAAGGGGGGACAGAAAACTTGGAGACACCCAGGATTTTCACAATACAATTTGGCCTTTTAGTTTATGGATCTCGTCATTTTGGAGATTCAATGGTATGGCTTGCAGGTGACACCATCACTTTTAGCTGAATAAAACTCTTAGAATGCCCCCATAATGGCCACATCTAAAAGAAACAGGTATTTGCCCTCATGTGTGACATCATGACAACATCCCCTGTCAGATACTTGTGTCTTGGTTAAGCGTTTTCAAACCAAATATTGATTATTCCACTAAATACCCCCCAAAAATTAAGAGTAAATAAAAATTAGCAGACATTATCACAGATATCCCCTCCCCTTCGTGTTAAGCTTTCAACCAAAAGTCTTCCTAAGGCAGCATGTTAAGGCCCCAAGGGCAAACTGATAAAGAGCACAGTACGAAAACTGCAGAAGTAATGCCATTTGTTCATTAAAATGATTCACTTTATTTTTTAAAAATATTTGTATTGATTTCAGAGAAGGGAAAAGGGGAGAGAGAGAGAAAACCATTGGTCAGTTGCCTCCTACACCCCCACACTGGGATCAAGCCCACAACCTGGGCATGTGCCCTGACCTGGAACTGAACCGTGACCTCCTGGTTCATAGGTGGACCCTCAACCTTTGAACCATGCCGGCCAGGCTCAAAATACCTCAATTTATCTGGAGAATTACATAAGTTTAATATCAGTATAGAAGTTAATAGGGCATTTTATTTTTAAGTCTGATCCAAGACTAAAAGAGGTGTCCTTTCTTTTTAGCAAAGCCACAGAAGACCCCTTTGCTATCACTGAACTTATTGATCCAGTGAAGATATACTAGTATAGTCAATACTGAAATGCATGGCAACTTCCTGAAGAGGGCAAAAATAAAGAGAAAGTTTAAAGTGTTGCCAGTAGAAGGTGCTATAGAGGTAACAGACAACAATGGTTAGTCTAACACTGATCCAAGTAATCTTCATATCTTATTTCTGGAGAATGGAAAACTGTAGGAGTTTGCATAGTAAATCACCTAGTGAGAATTTGATCCTACAGTGAGAAACCTCTTTATAAATGCTACAAGGGCCAAGCTGCCATCCAATTCTACACAAGCATATAAACTATATGAGAAGGCTCTATTGGAGGAATCATTAACACAAGAAATGTCTTCCCTCATCAGTTTAAGAGTGGGAAGAACTTATTTGACCAGCTCCCTGTTTTAAATACATTAGCATGCCAGCCTCGCTCTATAAGTAGCCAAATTATCAATAGGATTCTCATGTCATGTGGAAGAAGTGTTGGCGCAGGAGATGTTTAAGCTTTACCTTTGGTCCTAGGATAAAGCAGGCAGTTAAATAATTTCAAAATGTGTAAAACAGACATTATTGAGATATCAAGGCTTGACAAATCACCATCACATAATCCACAAGCTCTACATATTAAATAGCCACACAGGTGAGAACCAAATTCAGGTACTCTACAAGAGTGATAAAATGTCACTCGGCAAAAGCTGCCATTTTCTATGACAGTTTGTCAGGTGGTCAGTCTTGTATTAGCCTGGATCACTCTGCAATTGCTGTCTTGACCTTGAACTCTCACATCCGATTTGAATGAGAGCCTAGGTCCGAGGAAGTGAAAGCCAACAACCGCTTACTCAACAGTGCATTGTGTCTCTTCAGGTATACTATTATGTCTCCTTGCTTTTCAATAATTTCTTCTAAACTTGAAGTAGTCCTACAAAAAATCAAAATATTAATGGGTTACATATATTCACCAATACTCATTAGTCTCTTTGCAAATGGGTCCCAACCAGTTGAAAACTGGTGAAAATACAGCATATTGCATTGGTTACCTTTTTGTAGATACTGTAAGCCAGGGCAATATCCCAAAATGAGATTCTTTCATTTGACTGGGCTTCACCACAGCTGAAAGGAAGTAGCATCAAACCTAATTCTAGCTCTGGCCCATATTGCTCAGTGGAAAGAGCTTCAGCCCACCAATCCATGGGTCTCTCTCACATTGATGTTTCTCTCCCTCTCCCTCTCCCTCCCTCCCTTCCACTCTCCCTAAAAATAAATGAAAAAATATCCTTGGGTGAGGATTAACAACAACAACAAAAAACCACCCACAAACCTAATTCTAAAGGCACAAATGCACAGTAATAATCTCCAAGTAGAATGGTTTCTAGATTTTGGTGGGGTGGGGGGTGGGAGGGAGGAAATTATTTCTCTTGCAACTTTTATTCCCCACCCAAAGCTTACCTGAATCCAGTCTCTGAAGTAAAATTGCTAGGGTAAGCATGGACTTTTTCTTCTTCAAGAATATCAGGCTGTGGTTTGGCTTTATTAAATTTTCGAACCTTCACTAAAATAATAAAGTCATTATTGTCAGGTTACCTAATTATAAAAAGTACTTCTATTACCATTTATTCAAATTACATGAATTGGCTATTTTCAAAAAAGGTCATATCATAAAAATGCTTCACAAAGAGAATCAATAGGTTCGTTGTTTTTTTTTATGTACTCAAACATTTGACAGTTTATCATGTGCCAATCCTATACTAAGCACGGGGAACACAGTGATCATTGCTATTATTGATAATAATAACCGGGATTATTTTTTTGTGAACTAAAAGCACAGAAGGCACAGGGGAACTATTTTACTGGAACTCATTCAGTTCTCAGAACCTCCCCCTTTGGTGGGTGCTTTTATTACTCCTTATTTTCTACAGTCAAGTAAAGTGCAGTCCAAGGAAGCTGGACAAGTGGCCAGGGCTCGAATCTGGGAAGCAGGGCTCCAAAGCCTCCACTGTGGACACTACCCTATAACAAGAGCTACCAGCCCAGAGAAAAATACAAATAAATCTACATTCCAGAACAGGATAAAAAAGACCATAAAGCAGAGCTTGCACAGGGGCTAGGACAGCCCTGGAAAGCAGCCCCTTACTCAGTAGGAATGATGTGCAGGTTGGGGGAGGTTCAGAGAGGAGTAAACCCGAAAGAGTGGAGAAGAAGGTGTTTTTTGGGGGGGGAGAGGGAAGAGCCAGAATTAGGATCCTGAGAAGGGAAGTGAGTGAGTGAGGATGTGTGTGAGAGTGTGTGTATTTTTTAATGAAGTATATACTAGTAAAAGTTACACTAAGATGATTAGCTTTAACACAGAACAAGATAGCTTTAGGAACAAAAAAACAACAACAACAAGCTATTTTACAAGGTAATATTTCAGCGTCCTAAATTTTCCATCTCCTGTCTTGAAGGAGGTGGTCAAGATTACACTTTTAGTAGAGTAGGGGCTTGGATACCGCTAGCCCACCCAGAAAAACTCACTGCATATCAGCTTGAACTAAAAATATTTTTTACAAATAACTCAATGAGCACTAGCACAGGGTTTAAGTATCTGGCAAACATTTTTCAGGGGTATTAGGCAGGAGGGTTAAGTTAAGTGCTCTATTGTGTGTGTTTCATTGTCAGACATTCAAGGCAATGTCATATAGAGTGAGACAGAAAGCCTACCAAGGTCATCAATCAACTGAGAGCTTTAAAAGAGAAGAGACAGAAGGTTTTTACATGATTTATCCCAAAGCAATGTTGGCCTTAATGCAATTTTGCATGCATTATTTATGTACTTATTTTGTCGTTAGTTACTTTTTATTGTAAATGCGAGATTTACATGTCAGCTGCCTTTGAGGAATCAAACATGGGTGGTCTTTTGGGAATTTTTCGTTTTATACTGGTTCACTTTAATTGACAGAAACTTGTGGATGACACACAACTAGAAACGAGGCTCACTGGTATCTTCCTGTGGATTTGAAATGAGAGAAGTCTTAACGTCAGCAATGTGAGATACGGACGCTCAACAGGTTCTCAGCTAGATAGAAAAGCTTTGAGAACAGCTTCCTTGTTCTCAAATAAGCGGGGCTTCAAGCGGGTCTTTGTAAGAACAGCCTAGTTGTAGTTCTCACCTGTGTAGATGAGCAGACACGTCAGGGAACAGATCAGTTCCAGGGCCAGGATGGCCAGAATGAGGTCAAGATACAACCTGCTGGGCTCTGGGAAGGAATGCTGTATGCACAGTGTGAGGAGGAGAGCTGTGCTGCCTGGAGGAGGAAATAACCACAGAGTCAGCCAGAGCCCAGGTGACACCCCAGGCCATGCACACACCCAGGCCCCATTTAAACAGAGAAGTGAAGGAAGTTGGAGGATAAAAACCAAAAATCTGCTCATCTTTTGACGGAGGAATAAAGGAAAACAAAACATCAAAGAGTTAATGATGTCTCCTAATACAAATATATGAAATGGAACTTTCTTAAAAACTGAGAAATGGTTTTTTGCTTCATAGAATTATTAACAATGACATTCCTTTGGGTCATCCTTTGTGCATTGTGGTTTTTAGAAATGTGCATTATCCCAGTTGTTCCGGATTCATGGGTATTTGAGGAACCTAGTATTCATTCTGGTCACCACCTACGCTCATGGCAGACCTGCACTGCCTTCAGCAGCACTACAATGCTCCAGACACTTGGATGGAAACCTGGACATACTGCTAACCCTGGAGAAATGCCTGACTCCCTCTGTTCCTTGACTTTCCCATCTGAAAAATGGGGATAACTATCTTTCTCACAGTGATATTGTTTTGTTTCATTTTTTAAAAATATTTTTATTATTATTGATTTTAGAGAGGAAGGGAGAGGGAGAGAAGGATAGAAACATCAATGATGAAAGAAAATGGTTGAGCGGCTGCCTCCTGCACGCCCCACACTGGGGATCAAGCCGGAAACCTGGAAATCGAACTGTGACCTTCTAGTTCAGTGATGGCGAACCTATGACACGAGTGTCAGAGGTGACACGCGAACTCATTTTTTTGGTTGATTTTTCTTTGTTAAATGGCATTTAAATATATAAAATAAATATCAAAAATATAAGTCTTTGTTTTACTATGGTTGCAAATATCAAAAAATTTCTATATGTGACACGGCACCAGAGTTAAGTTAGGGTTTTTCAAAATGCTGACACGCCGAGCTCAAAAGGTTCGCCATCACTGTTCTAGTTCATAGGTCAATGCTCAACCACTGAGCCACGATGGCCTGGCTGTCTTTTTTTCATTTTTAAAAATTTATTTTGATATATATATCTTTTGTATTAGTTTTTTTTAAATAAATTTTTATGGATTTCAGAGAGGAAGGGAGAAGGAGAGAGATAGAAACATCAGTGATGAGAGAGAATCATTGATTGGCTGCCTGATGCATGCCCTTCATGGAAAATAGAGCATGCAACCCAGGCATGTGCCCTGACCAGGAATTCAACTGTGACCTCCTGGTTCATAGGTTGACACTCAATCCCTGATCCACCCAGCTAGGCTCTATTAGTTCTTTTAATGAACTAAAGCCATTAATTTACTCTGACCCTGGACTCCTCCTATTTAAATTTGGGGAAATAATACTTGTCATACAAACCCTGAGTTTAAAATGTATTTTAAAATGTTTTTATTTATTTTTAGAGAGAGAAAGTGAGAGGGATAGAGAGATAGAAACATTGATGAGAGAGAAACATTGACCAGCTCCTCCTGCATACCCACTACTGGGGATCAAACCAGCAACCCAGGCATGTGGCCTGATCAGGAATCAAACCAGTGACCTCTTGGTTCATGGGCTGATGCTCGACCATTGAGCCACACAGGCTGAACATTAAAATGTATTTGGATCTAAGGAACGAGGACAGATAAATTAGATAAATATTTTCAACTTATTTGGAAGAAAAGCCCCTTCTCCCATTTCCATAAAATAAATGCACTTTCCTCTCTAGAGAATAACAAAAAGTATCAGGATGAAGCTAATCAATATCTAGCAATACTCAGGGGCAGATGGGTGGGTGGTAAGAGATCAACCAAAGAAATTGTATGCATATATGCATAAACCATGGATACAGATAATAGGGTGGTGAAGGTCTGGGGTTGGGGGGGAGGGTGGGCTCAATAGGGGAAAATAGGAGACATATGTAATACTTGCAACAATAAAGATTTAAAAAAATATATCCAGCAATACTATCACATCTGATTTTAAAAATGGTTATACTCTTCTGATTAGCTGGAGCTTCTGTATCTTCTATGACTTACCTCTTTTTCTTCAAATAAGAAAAAGATACTTAAAGAAAAATAGAAACAAGGTGAATACCTGCCCCAATCTCTTTGATATTCTGGATCCTTATATGAGCAACATACAAGTGATGCCATCTGCGATTAAACTAAGGGTCCAATTATTTAGAAAGGGATTATGATTAAGGGTCACATTTTTAACAATTTGAAAGTCATTTTGGTGGACTCAAAATGACTATTTCCAGAAAATCACTTACGATGGAACATTATTTTGGTTATAGAGCATATAAGGTCTTTCAGTAATTAAAAAATAGATTTTTGCTCAGGCCGGTGTGGGTCAGTTGGTTGAGCATAGTCCCATGCATCAGAAGTGGCAGGTTTGATTCCCAGTAGGGTTAACAATTTGAAAGTCATTTTGGTGGACTCAAAATGACTATTTCCAGAAAATCACTTACGATGGAACATTATTTTGGTTATAGAGCATATAAGGTCTTTCAGTAATTGAAAAATAGATTTTTGCCCAGGCCGGTGTGGGTCAATTGGTTGAGCATAGTCCCATGCATCAGAAGTGACAGGTTTGATTCCCAGTAGGGTACATGCCCGGGTTTTGGGTTCAGTCCCTTGTTGGGGTGCCTTCAAGAGGCAACAGACGGATATATCTCTCTCTCTCTCTCCCTCTCTAAAATCAATAAAAACATTTAAAAAAAGTTTTCTGCCCACCCCCTCAACCAAAAGGTGATAGTGACACCTTCTGGCCAGGAGAGAACACTACACATCAAAAGTTGAACATAAAATCAAGTTCTTCCTTAGGGAGCAAGCAGTAAATGTCGTCCCCTCCTGGATGAGCACAGTTCAGCCACCTCTATAAAATGCTGCTTTCTCTGCTAGCATGGCCCTCCATCTTCACTAAAAATGTCACCGAGTGGATGAACTTGCACTTTGCAGTTTGCCCTTAAGTAAATGCACTAGCACAGAATAAAAATAAAAATTAAATTCTATAATGCTGTTTTTCTGCAAGAAGTATTCATTTCTAATCCAGCTTAAAGATTTATTCCGGACTCACAATCAAAGAGGGTATTTTAAAATGACAGAAGCTTTATAATAACATTAAGGCAAAACTAACTACCTAAAGAAACTCAGCTTAATTCCATTAAGCCTTTGAAATGTCCACAACAGTAAAGAGAAGCAGGCACTCATGCATTCTAAATGCTGATCTAGCCTTCATAATTTGCTTTTCTTTCTTCGTTTTGGATAATGCATCTTATTACATAACAGTTTCTCTCTTACTGCAAGAAAAGTACCGAGTTTCATTTAAAATAAAACAATTCCCTCCTCTTATCTTCCAGGTATCAAATAGCAGCAGCATTTCTATCTCCTTGAGATGAATAAGGAGATAGAAATACATGGACACAGGAATACATGGATACCATGTTCATAATGAAGGAGAGCAGAAAATGCCACCTGAAAATATAACTCTTTGGCATAAGGATTACTTTAAGCTGATTATTTTTAAGTAACAGCAGACACCGGGAAAAAGCTCTGAAAACGGAGAAGTTATCCATTTGTAAGACTGTCTCCTTCTCTGTACCAGGAAGAGAAGGATGACTCTAAATCTCAAGAAATTCTTATCAATGGAGAAGGCATCTACTTAAATCTGCTTAACAACTTTATTCTTGTTTACTTTGTTTTTCCTGGTAACCGCCCATAACTGCCTCCCACCCCAGCATCTTCTTTTGTCTTTAGCTGGAGATGGTATTTAAGGTAGTGGCTTGGGTCATTTTGGGGTGTTACAGTATCCTGGGTATCTGTATACAGGAGGCATACATGTTATTAAACTTGTTTGTTTTTCTCCTGTTCATCTGTCTTTTATTACAGTGGAGGTCTAAGCCAAATACATGGAAGGTAGAGGAAAAATGATATTCCCTCCCTTATAATAACCAACACAGATTTCAAAGGAAAATGAAGCTTATATATATTATAAGAAAAGCTTCGACATTTAGGTGATCCAAAATTTAGTGGCCACAACACATATCAGTCCCACAAAAATGAGAATCTACAGTAAGTCCTGACTTAACTTTGTGAATAGGTTTCTGTGACATTAAGTGAAACAGCATATAAAGAAACCAATCTGACCATAATCTATTGATACAAATAAGTGTTAAGTTCCTATGGCATCCCATCAACATTTTAACAAAATGACGCTGAATGAAATGACATTATTCAAGGACCTGCTGTATTTGTTTATAAAATCAAGTTTTCAGATTTTCTTTTTGCTGTAATTTTTGCTACTCAACGAAGCCACAGACAAGCTGAGAGTGACAATGTACTTACTTACCAGTGGAGTGTATCATTAATGCAAGTCTTTTAAGATGCCTTGTTGATCGGTAGATCATGTGATAGCCTCGGTTTCTTACTTTGCTGTGGTGATGCTGAATGTAGCGCTCAAGAAGGAAATGCAGAATCCACAAAATAACTTTTCCAAGGATTATGACCGTCTGAACTTTCAGTGGGTTGGTGTAGTTTCCTGGGCACTTGTCCTCATTTGGATCAGGGTAAGAACAAAGCACACCTGTTACAAATGCTAAAATAACAAACACAACCTGGTGGAAAGGAAAGCAGTAGGCTTAATATTCAATATTTCAGAAACATTATCACCATCCCACCACATACTCTTTATGCTTATAACTTTTTTGTTTTTAAGTTTCATTTAATTTGATTTTTCCGTCACCTTTTGGCCCCTCTCTGCTCCTCACCGCTGCAATTACTGCACTGTTGTCATGTCCAGGATTTCTCTCCTTTTTTTTCTTTTTTGCTCGAACCCTTCACTGCCTCTAAGCTTATGATTTCTGATATCCAATTTTTATAAATAAGTTTAAAAAAACACTGTATTTTTACAAACTTTAAAAAAAATATATATATTTTTATTGATTTCAGAAAGGAAGGGAGAGGGAGAGATAGAAACATCAAGAATGAGAGAGAATCATCGATCAGCTGCCTACTGCACACTGCCACTGGGGATCAAGCCCGAAACCCAGGCATGTGCACTTGACAGAATCAAACAGAGGACCCTTCAGTCCCTCAGACCTACGCCTTTTAAAAAAATATATATCTTTATTGATTTCAGAGAGGAAGGGAGAGGGAGAGATAGAAACATCAAGAATGATCAAGAATGAGAGAGAATCATCGATCAGCTGCCTACTGCACACTGCCACTGGGGATCAAGCCCGAAACCCAGGCATGTGCACTTGACAGAATCAAACAGAGGACCCTTCAGTCCCTCAGACCTACGCCTTTTAAAAAAATATATATCTTTATTGATTTCAGAGAGGAAGGGAGAGGGAGAGATAGAAACATCAAGAATGAGAGAGAATCATCGATCAGCTGCCTACTGCACACTGCCACTGGGGATCAAGCCCGAAACCCAGGCATGTGCCCTGACCGAGAATTGAACCGTGACCTCCTGGTTCATAGATGGATGCTCAACCACTGAGCCAGGCCAACAGGGCCCACAGGCCTACGCTTTATCCATTGAGCCAAACCAGCTAGGGCTTTACAAACTTTTAAAACAAAATTTGAAGAAAAATTTGGAGATAACTTAGAAAACAAAATCACAAATAAGAAAAAAAAATCACTTTAAATCTGATCTTAACAGAAATGGACACTTAATGTTAAAGACAGTTTCCTGCCCACTTCTCTTTTACTGAAAAGAGTAAAAAAAAAAAAAAAACAAAAAAACAATTATCACTTAATGTTAAAGACAGTTTCCTGCCCACTTCTCTTACTGAAAAGAGTAAAAAACAACAACAAAAAAAACAGTTAAGGGAAACTGGCTATGATGATCAACTGAAAAAAAACCCACAAAAACAGTTGAGTGCCTTAAAGGTAAAAGAAAAATCATGATTTTAAAAAGTTTATTTCTATGGGTCTTATTTGCCTAAAATTCATGAGTCTGCTCATCTGGAGACTTTAGAGGAGAACCGTGTCCATGTCTCTCTCAGCTTCTAGGGACCCCTGCATTCTGTCACTCATGTCTTCTTCCTCCATCTTCAGAGCCAGCAGGGTGACATCTTCAAATCTCTCTTTTCTGACCTCTATTTCCATGGTCACTTCTCTTTTTCTGACTCTGACCCTCCTGTCTCCCTCTCTTAAGGGCTCATGATTACATTGGGCCCACTGTACAAACCAGAATAATGTCCCCATCTCACATCCTGACTTAAGCACATTCACAGAAGCCCCTTATCCATTCAGGTAACACATTCACAATTTCCAGGGAGTAGGAGGGGAAAAAATAAATAAATAACAATAAATTTGTTTCCAGTTTCAGTGTTAAGAGAACAATAAAAACTATACAATTAGATGACAAAAAGGTAAAAGATTGGTGCCAAAATACAAGCAAACAGACATTTTCATATATTGCTGGCTGGTCAGAATTGCTATCGAAAAATCACTTGGAAATATCTTGACCCAGAAATCCTACGTCAAGGACTCTATCCCTCAGGACGACAAGCACAAGTACCTAGTATACATGGATATGAATATTCACTGCAATATTCTCCAAATCTGCACAACTTGAAAATTGATTATGTGTCCAACCACAATAGAATTCTTGAATAGATCAAGGCACACCCACCCATGTAGTAGAATATTACTCAGCCATGAAAGAATTAACGGAATCCCTGTGCATCAGTTTGGATGGATGTCTATATGTCAGACTAAAAGAAGTAAGCTGCAGAGCAGTAGTTCCAAGTGTGGTTTCCAGGCCAGTGGCATCAGGATTACCAGGGGCCGTTTATTAATGCAAATTCTCAGGCCCCACCTCTTACCCACTGACTCAAAATATCTGGGGGCTATTCAACAAGCCTGCCAGGAAGTCTGATCCACCCTGAAGTTTGGGAAACTCTGCCACAGAGTAATAACTAACAGTATTAAATCTCTTAAAGAAACTGGATGATACTGGAAACATGCCCACAATAAATTCTTTGAAGTAGAGATATGAGTGAAAAAGTATGCACATATTATTTTATTTTTGTTTTAAATATATTTTTATTGATTTCAGAGAGGAAGGGAGAGGGAGAGAGAGATAGAAACATCAATGATGAGAATCATTGATCTGCCGCCTCCGGCACGCCCCCTACTGAGATCGAGCCTGCAACCCAGGCATGTGCCCTTGACCTGAATCCAACACAGGACCCTTCAGTCTGCAGGCCAACGCTCTATCCACTGAGCTGAACCAACTAGGGCTAGTATGCACATTTTAAATGTTAATAAATATAACCAATTTAATATATTTTTTATTGATTTCAGAGAGAGGAAGGAAGAGGGAGAGAGAGAAACATCAATAATGAGAGAGAATCATCGATTGGCTGCCTCCTGCACACCTCCACTGGGGATCCAGCCTAGAACCCAGGCATGTGCCCTGACCAGGAATCAAACCCTGATCTCCTGGTTCATGGGTTGAAGCTCAATCACTGAGAAACACCGGATGAGCTTATGTATTTTTTAAGAACGTCACCTCTACGCTGTCTCAAAGACATCCTTCCTTTTTATAGCTGCATAGTATTCCATTGTGTAAATGTACCACATCTTTTTTTTTTTTTAAATATATTTTTATTGATTTCAGAGAGGAAGGGAGAGGGAGAGAGAGATAGAAACATTGATGATGAGAGAGAATCATTGATCTGCTGCCTCCTGCACGTCCCCCATTGGGGATCAAGCCTGCAACCTGGGCATGTGCTCTTGACTGCAATCAAACCTAGGACCCTTCAGTCTGCAGGCTGACACTATTATCTATTATAGAGCCAAACCAACTAGGGCTGTACCACATCTTTTTAATCCACTAATCTATTGATGGGCACTTGGGCTGTTTCAGATCTTAAAAGAAAGGATCTTTTACCCTTTGAGACAGCATGGAGGGACCTGGAGAATATTATGCTAAGCAAAATAAACCAGTTAGAGAAAGATAAGTATCACATGATCTCACTTATGGAATCTAATGCATAAAAGAAGCTGACAAGATAGATCCAGAGACACTGAAGCATGCAACAGAATGAAAAATTTTAGGGGGTTTGGGGCGGGGGTAGGAAGAGACTAACCAAAGAAATTATATGCATATACATATAAACCAATGGACACAGACAATAGTGCAGTGAAGGCATAGGAGAAATAAGGGGACATCTGTAATACTTTCAACAATAAAGATAAATTAAAAAAAAAAAGAACATCACCTCTAGATGGATCACTTTCTCGCGGCAAACTTACATGTATTAACAGGAGAAGATTTGCTATAATGACCGTAGGAAGAGGATGGAATCTGGGTCTAAAATGAGCATGTAAGGAATAATGTGAAAGATGCTGGGTGTCCAGAAGGGGGTCATCTTCAACACTTTGGGATGGATCCAAGGAACCCTGGGTGCAGGAAAAAGGAAGCAAGCTATAATTACCACTTTCTGGATTATGTTTCTAAGACCAATTTACTGAATTTATAAAGCTTTAAAAAGCAGTATACAAGTTAGAGGCAAAAATAATACTCCCTACCTAAAGCCAATTTTGAAAATATACATAAGCCTCTAGATAACTTCTGCATACAAATTGGTGAAAACAACAATCATTAAAAGAGGTAGAGGACGTCTTAATTCATTTATCTTCAAACAAGGTATTACATAATGGGACTAAAGCAAATAATTTTCTTCAAGCCCTCAATACTTAGATATTGATTTACTTAACATTGGTATTATTGATGAAATAATTACATATGGTTGCAATTCTTCAACTATGTCTCTGTGCTCCATAACATTCTGGAGAGGTGGTGAAGGCTTTATTAAGAGGTCTTAAAACAAACTTTCAGCTATGATAGAAATATTTTAGAGCACTAATAGAAACAGAGCACCCTGACAGACCTTCCAAGGAGACTTTAGTTTGTAGATGTCAGATTCTCAATGAGAACAACCACTTGCAATGTCACTGAAGTAGTAGGGAAAAGTTCAGCTGCTACTTCAAAATCTACTTAATCATGTTTAACAGTATTGTCTTGACAGAACAGTATACTGTCCAGTCTCTGGTGCATACAATAATCTCTCAATGTCAGATTCTTAGCCAGTGTGGTTCAGTGGTTGAGCATCAATCTATGAACCAGGAGGTCACAGTTTGATTCCCCATCAGGATACATGCCTGGGTTGCAGGCTCAATCCCCAGTGGGGGGCATGTAGGAGGCAGCTGATCGCTTATTCTTTCTCATTATTGATGTTTCCATCTCTCCCTCTCCTTTCTTCTCTGAAATCAATAAAAATTTATTTTAAAAAAAGATTCTTAGGGAAAACTGTTATATAAACTTAAGACACAGTCAAAAGGAGATTACATTTTCATTGGGGAGGCCAGGGGTAAAGGCATGCAGGACTAAACAACATACAATAGAATATAGTGCACAGGATACTATAGAGGAGTAATAAATTAGCAAATGAATAGCACAGATAATGCACCAAATTTAGGTTACCTAGGTATCCTAGAATGAAAGGGAAATGATGCCTTAATTTGCAAAAGGGAAGCCAGAGACTAGGATTAGGAAACAGAAGATAAGGGCTTTCTACTTTGGAAGGGGTAGAGGGTGGTATGTTGGTCACTAGGATTAATTATATAGATAATTCAGTAATGTGGGGCTTTGATTTCCAATCTCAGGTATTCAATGATGCTCCACAGTTTTTAAAATCCTCACCCAAGGATATGTTTCCACTGATTTTAGAGAGAGAGGGAAAGGGAGAGAGAAAAACATCAATGTAAGAAACAAATGGTTGCCTCCCAAACTTGCCAGGACCACTGGGAATCAAACCCACAATCTCAGTATGTGCCCTGGCTGAGAATTGAACCCACAACCTTTTGGTGTATGAGACCACACTCCAACCAACTGGGCCACCCAGCCAGGCCACTGGTCTGCAATTTTTAACATTCAATGCCTAGACAGTTTCCTGTTTAGTTTGCCAAAAACTCATGGTGCAATTCTGATTACTTCTGTTCTCAAGACTCCTTTGCCTCTGGCTATTTCTCAATCAGCAGATGTTCCAGTTTCCACAGCTCTTTCCTTAGCTAATGTCCATGCAGCCTTCCAGGCTCAGGTGGGCCAATTCCCATGGGTAGCCTTCCCGGGCAGCCAAGCATCTGGATCATGCCACCCCGCCCAGTCTTCCCAAGCATTTGGTGCTGACCTCCTCCCGTATACTATCCTGTGATGGTCTCTTACTTATGTCTTCCCCAATAGACTTTCTGAGACCCACTGTGTCCCCACTTCCTATGTCTTTGTAATGCCAGTACCCATGGTCGGCACTCAGCGAACAAGTGATGAATGAACAAATGTTCCAAACCTGTCCTTGCAGTGTTCCCTCACTCAGTGATGGTATCATCATAATCAGGAGAGATTATCGAGAGCTGTAGGGACAACCAGCAGTAAGTGCTGTGGTGAAGGGCAGGCTCCTAAGACAAACTGCCTGGGTTCAAATGTAAGTTCTACTGCTTCCCAGCTATGGACAAGCTACTTCATCCCTCTGTGCCTCAGTTCCCTCATCATTAAAAGGAGAATAATTATAGCACCTGCTTCATAGCTTTGTTGGGAAGATTAAATAAGTAACCACACATAAAAGTCCTTAGAACACTGCTAGGTGCAGAGTAAGCAATCAATAAATATTAGCTACTATTACCTCTAATTCTTGCTTTTCCATTGATAATATTCATTACCATGTAATATTCATTAACATGTAATGTTCATTATATACTGTGCATTGCCATATAATACAATATTCATTACCATTTTAACTCCCAAATCTGTTCTTTCCTCTCTATTCTCACTATCTCAGTCAAAGCTCTCATCATTTTTCATGGCCTTTGCTAATTAACCTTCCGATCTCTAGACCTCAGCAATTCTCTCACTGCAGTCAGAGTTCTTCCAAAACAGACATTCACATTTCTCTCCCCCAAACCTGGTACCTCCCCATTACCCGCCAGACAAAGTCCAAACACTGGCTATGTGCTTTACAATCCATTCCCAAGTTACTTTCCAGGATTTGCCTCTCACCACCTTCCTCCCTCCCTCCTGATGACAACTGCTGTGCCTCCAAGTAGTCTTCCTCACCTTTCAAATACCTGTCCCAGCAAAAATGCTGTCTTCTCTGATGCCTCAACACTGTTCCTACTGCCCTTTCCACCTGACATTGTAGTTTCCATCACTACAAGTTTGACTTGGATCTATTTTATATTTTCCATGTGTCTTTAAAACCGTTGCAACACATAGAAAATAGTTATAATTTTTAATGTCTCTGTTATTTCTAGCATGAGAATGTCATTTCTGGATCAGTTTCAATGGACTCATACACCTCTCTTTTATAGCTTACTAGAGGCCCAGTGCACGAATTCATGCACAGGTCGGGTCCCGCTGGCCCGGCCCCAATCAAGGCGAATTGGGGCCGGGCCTGTCAGGAGGAGGAGATGGCAGGAGGTTGGCCAGCTGGCCCACCCCAATCGGCCTATCAGGGCTGGGCCATCTGGGGGGAGGGGCTGAAGACGATTGGCCAGTGGGCTCTGCCCCCTGTTGGGGTGGGGGAGGCGGAGCTGGCTGGGGGGAGGGACCGCGGGCCAATCGGGTAGGTCAGGGCTGATTGTGGGTGGGGCCAGCTGTGGGTGGTGGGCCGGCTGGACCCACCCCTGAATGGGGTGGAGGGGCTGATCAGGGGCCAGCGGCCTGGGGGAGGGGCCATGGGTGGTTGGCCAGCTGAGGGGAGGGGCTGCAGGAGGTTGGCCCGCCGGCCCCACTCCCTGATCAGGTGGTTCGCTGGCTGCAGTGGGTGTCATAATGACCAGTCGTTCCGGTCATTATGGCATTCCAGTCACTGGGTTTTTATATATATAGATGATACTAAGCACAAGACATCAAAGTTGTTGGAATAGGTGTGCTTCATAAGGGCAGAACTCTGTATTGTATTATGTTCTTTGTAACTTTAGCACCGTATATATAGCAGGGGCTTAATGTGTGTGTGTAATGGATAAACTATAGCCCAACTTCTTGAACAGATGGGGCCTGGGAGCTTAAACTAAAGCCAGCATTGAGACCTTAACTGTAAAACAAGAATCTACAGTAAGACCTCACCTAACATCGTCGATAGGTTTTGTAACTTTAAGTAAAACGAAGTATAATGAAACCAATTTTACCATAGGCTAATTGATAATCAACCAGAGTTAAATTCCTAAGACATCTCATCAATGTTAGTTGAGGAACTATTGTTCTTTTTTTTTATCTTCCGTTTCATGCTCCTTCTCCTCTAGCCTGAATGGGCTTTCTGGAATGCCCACAAATACACTCTTTTATCTTTTCAGAATCCAACTCATCTTTCAAGATCCAAACCCAACAAAACTCATGTTCTCTATAAAACTTGTCGAGACAAGTGTTTTCTTTCTACTTTAAAACTCCTATAAAACATAGTACCCTTAATATTTAGTTGGAATATTTCTTATGCTGCCTTGTATTATTTTCCCTGACTACATTGAAGGTATTGGGGCCTACAATACAATTTCTTCTCTCTGTCTCTCATTTGATGTTCAATAAATACATGATGTCTATATCAAATACACTGTCCAATGGATCCGACAGACAATATAGTAAATCCATACAAATAGCACCCCATCATTCTCTAATTCACATCTGCAAGTGAAAGGTGGAGGGAAGATGCCTCCTGAATACAAATAATTTCTTCATTTTCACTATTGATAACTACATTCCTACCTGTAGAAGATATCTCTTGTTTTTGCCCACACCAATATGGGTCCTTTCAGAGGCCTGGGTGTTCATCTGCCCTATTTCAGAGAAATCCCAATTTTCCTTAAGTTAGCCAGAGTTGGTTTCACTGCTTGCAATCAATTAACCTTAACCTTCTCCTCTTTTAAGTCATTGAAGTGTCTGGGCCTATACATAGCAGATAATTTTTAGCTTTTTACTGAATAGTAGAATTCATATCCACAAAAATACCAAAGCAGGCAGCTTGCTCAGATTGAAAGTGACCTAGCTATGTAATTGTTGGTGAAACAGATTTCTGGGATTGTACTCATTCTAAAGCTAAAAGCTACACAGATCCAAGAACCCTGGGGTAGCTTAGCATCAGCCAAGAAGCATTTACTGCATGCATTTTTCTAAGCTTCTCATTATACTTAGATATTCATTTCATTTCCATACATTGTCAGTTCATGCATCCCACCCTTAAAAATTTAGTAAAAAATCATTTTTTCTTTAAATATATGAGCCTCAAATCTACTTGCAGGTTTTACAGTTAGTGTTCCATGATCTCCGCTGGGGGAAAAGGAGGAATTTTTAGTCTTATTAGAAACGGTTTGGTCATTATTTAGTCAAGATAATACAACTATGGTCGCTATTTACCGAAGAATCTTACCTCTTGTAGGGCTGGAACAGTGTTTCATATGTCTTGCCTGATGGACCTCATTCAGTGATAGGACTGCAGTAATATTTCTATTAATTTGTTAATCCAAATGAATGCTTTAATGTAACTGTCAACTTTGCATTTTTGAAGGTCAATAATTTTATTTTGTGCCCATAGGGTAACTCAGTTAATTCTGGGCATAAATATGTTTCCCCTAAAAATGTTTAAATATACTTAAGAAAATACTTTTTGCAATTATGCTATCACTCCGTACACTGTAAAATAGGGCATTGTTTTTTGGGGGTTTTTTTTAGTAATCTGGTTTGGATCCAGCTAAGAAAGGAGACTCAAAAGTCCTATCATTCCTACCAAGCCTGCCTAAATTCAAAACAGCCCATTGTTTTTCTCCCAAGTCGGTTTCCTGGTGATGATGGCCACAGGTCTGCCCCGGGGACCCTGGCTGCTGGCCTGCCCTTTGCAGCCTCGCCAGGTCCACAGCCCTTCAGAGCCAAGGCAGGGGACCTGCAAGGAGGGGAGATTCGCGTGCGGAGCCAGGGCAGTGAGGCCAAGCGCATCACATAAAGCTGTCAGTTCCTGGAGCAGATGCGCACGTGAACTGGGCACCCGCCTGGGACTGGCACCCGCGCAGCCACCGCCCAGCAGCCCATACTGACTGGACCCTGGAAAATAACGCGGAAGTTGGCGTGTCGCGGACCTCACCCTACCCTGGTGCGTTCTCCTACAACCACGTGCTGCGGGTTGGAGCACTCACATCCCGCCCAGTCTCCGCCCAGCGCGCCCAGTACAGGAAGAAGGGGATTCCGGGGCCAGCCGCCCGCCACTTGCGTGCACTCACATCTTCCAGCCTGCCCCCCGCAGCCATTTCCCGACGCTTGAGGCCGCAGCCCGGGCCAGCCCGGCCTCTCCACCTGTTCACCGGCGCCGTGGGCCCGGGAAATTGCCACCTTCAGGGATCTGCCCGCCCCCACTCCAGACACACCCGCTCCGGCGCCTGCCCCGCCTCGGGTCTCCCATGGCCCCGCCTCCTCACTTCCGATTGGTCGAGGCAGGGGGAGGGGCGTGTTCCGCCCCGAAGACCGGACCCGTGGGCCGCAGCTGCCGCGTGACCTTGGTTCCTCGGGATTCCCCCGTCTGCTCAGGTCCGCTATTGGCCAGAGACCTGGGCCTGAAAGGATGCGTTTCAAGTCCAAGAATTTAAATATTTTCGGCCGCCCCGTGCTTCTTTTTAAAACGTTTACTCTTTTCATTCTTAGTTTTTGTTTGCAGGCAGAGCTCCAGGCATAATTAGAACAAGTAGTAGGATTTTAGAGTTGCTATTTTTAGCTTAAAACCGGTAGAGGGGGCACGAAGAGAATAAAGATTCTAATCCCTATGACATATTCACAGATAGCACCAATGGGCAAGAGTAAAAAAACCAAATGAGTGGCCCGTCTCCCAGGCTTTGCTCAGCAGTAGCTCCCTCTTCTGGCTCTGATTCGGTTCTGAATGCGCAGACTTCACCCTGTGTCAGGAGACGCTCTCCGGAGTCTGGGTCTTTCCTTGTATAACATTTCTAGGAGTAAAAAGTTTTACCCTTTTTCAACTTGAGCTGTATATTTTTTAAAATAAGTATTCCCAAGGTGATGGATTATTTAGTGAATGATATTGGGAAAAATAGCCATTTGGAAGAAAATAAAGCTGGATCACTCCCACATTCCTTAAGCCAAAATAAATTCCTCATAGTTCAGAGATTTAAACATAAAAATGAATCGACAGAACTTCTAGAAAAAAGAAATTATAGTTTTACAGTAAAGACTATTTATGCATGACCCCGAATCCAGAGGAACTAAAGAAAAAGTGTGCCCTGGCGGTTTGGCTCAGTGATAGAAAGTAGGCAGGAGGGGGCATGCAGGAGGCAGCCGACCAGTGAGAGCTGGACACCGGGCATGTGCCCTGACTGGGAATGGTGATCTCCTGGTTCAAAGGTCAACGCTCAACCACTGAGCAACACCAGCTAGGCTAAATAAAAAAGGAAATAAAAGGCATTCAAATTGGAAAGAAAGAAGTAAAATAATTCAAAAAAAAGGCATGATGTTACATATAAAGAATATCTTAAAGAATCCACAAAAATAGTCTTAGAGCTAATAAAGAGTTTGGTAATTCTTCAAAAAGCTAAACATAGAATTACCAGAAGACCCAGTAATTCCAATCCTAGGTATATAGTCAAAGGAATTGAAAGCAGGCACTTGTATTGCCAATGACCATTACAGACTTGTTTACAAGAGCCTAAAGGTGGAAACAATTCATTTCCATCAATAGACAAATAGATTTTTTAAATGTAATATACTATCCAGTCATAAAAAGGAACAAAGTTCTGATACTTGCTACAACACAGATAAACCTTGAAATTATTATGCTAAATGAAATAAACCAGATACAAAAGGAGAAATATTTTGTAATTTCACTTATATGAAATATCTAGAATAGGCAAGTTCTTAGAGATGGAAAGTAGATAGAGGTTACCCAGGGCTGGGGAAAGATGGAAGTGAGGGATTATGGTTGAATGGGTAAAGATTTCTGTTTGAAAAAAAAAAAGATTTCTATTTGAGGTAATGAAAATTGGAGGAAATAAATAGTGGTAATTATCGCACAGTATTATAAATGTAATTAATGCCACTGAATTGTACACTTGAAATTAGTTAACATGGCTCCTGCTTGGTGACAGTTGGTTGGAGTATTGTCCCACACACCAAATAGGATGTGGGTTCAATTCCCAGTCCCAGGTGTACGGGAGGCAACCTATCCATGTTCTCTCCCTCTCTCTCTCTCCCTCTCCCCCTTCCTCTCTCTCTAAAATCAATAAACATATCATTGGGTGAGCATTAAAAAAAATGGTCAACATGGCAAATATGTTATAAATATCTTATCACAATAAAAACAGAATTTTAAAAAGTTTGGAATACACACAAAACTGCTTATCATGTAATTGTGAATCATAGCATGATCCTAATTCTACCTTGCATGATAAAGAGGTAATTTCCTTATTATGCAAAGAGCACTTCAAATCAATGTTTAAAAACGTTTTTTAAAGGGCAAATGATAAAAGCAAGTAGTTCACAGAAATAGAAAGGCAAACAGAATAAGAAATATATTTTTAACCTCACTTACAATCTTAAAAATGCAAAATAAAACAACAAAAGATGCCATTTTACCTATCAGATTGCTGAAGACAAAAGTATTCGTGAGGGTGTGGGAAACATTCATGCATTATTAGAATCAGTGTGAATTACTGCAACATTTTGAGGGCAATTTGCCAAACCTACCAAATAAACATTTACACAGTTTTTAAATACTTATTTATCCTTTGACTGGAGATTTTTTTCTGCAGTTGTACTAAAAAATGTGAGAAAGATATTTGTTGCAACATTATTTCCAAAACTTTCTCTTTATTAAAAACAGTAATAACCTAAATATTTGTCAATAGGGGACTAGTTAAATAAAATATTGTATCAATAGAAGTTGACATTAAAAGCCTAGGGGTAGATCCATGTGCATGGATTTATATGTACTGCAGAATGATAGCCAGGTAAGAACAATTCATTTTGCAAATATATATATAAATGTTTCCATTTGTGTGAAAATACCTATTACATATTTGCTTTTGTACAATTATGAACAATTTCTGCAAGAATATACCAGAATCATTCATAGTTATCTCTACTGAGAAGGACTAAGAATCCTATCTAATAAAGAGAGAATATGCTAATTGACCCTCATGCCATCACACAAGATGGCCGCCATGTGGGCACAAGATGGCTGGCAGGGGAGGGCAGTTGGGGGTGACCAGACTGGTAGGCAGAAGCAGTTAGGGGCAATCTGGCAGGCAGGCAGGCAAGCGGTTGGGAGCCAGCAGTCCCGGATTGTAAGAGGGATGTCTGATTGCCAGTTTAGGCCCGATCCTTGAGATTGGGCCTAAACTGGCAGTCAGACATCCCCCGAGGGGTCCCAGATTGGAGAGGGTGAAGGCTGGGCTGAGGGACCCCCCCACCCATGCACGAATTTTGTGCACTGGGCCTCTAGTGTAGAAGTATGTTTTCTTTCCTGTTAAATTTTTTTCACACTCTGAAATTTTTACTATTCATTACTTTTTAAAGATAATTTTTAGTTTTTTATTTATTAATTTTTAGGAAGAGAAAGAGAAACATTGATGTGTTGTTCCACTTACACATGCATTCATTGGCTGATTTTTGTAGGTGACCTTCCTGGGGATCAAACTGCAACTTTAGCATATTGGGATGAGACTCTAACCAATTAAGCCACCTGGCCTAGGCTGTAACAACCCTGAATATTTAAAAAAGATTTCTTTTTCTCATATTATTCACATCCAATTGACCTTTATCCTTTAGTAAGTGATAAATTAGCAAAGGTTAATCCAAGTATCCAGAGTTTAGAAGGTTATAAGGAGACAAAAGCCTTCCTCACCTATTTAGATTCTAGTTCACACCATTTTTCTAACTGATTCCCAATACTAATTATTTCCTGACATCAATAAAAGTTTCATGGTTATTCCTATTCCCCCTACTAAACTTCAGACACTATAGGGTGTAATCCATCACACACAGCCCAGAATGCACACACAGCAAATGGTCATTGAATTGAACCCAGTCAAAGAGAAATGAGAGGAAAGATATAAAAATAAAATACTAATGGAAGGTGGGAGGTGAGATCAACAGAGCAAGAAGGATATGGTAGAAGGAGACAGATGGGAAGGAAGAAGAGAGATGACAGAAATGCAGCCCTTGTAAAAGTTGAGGAGAGAGGTGTGGGATCGGAGGGGCACTGGACTAGCAGTCACACATGCTTTGTATTCATTAGATCAAGGTGTAGGTGAAACACTAACAGGGCTGGTGGGGGCAAGGGAGATAAATAACGTAAGGTGCCTGAGGCAGGGCAGGGGAGGCACCAAGCACACCAACATTACCTGCTGGCAGTGAGAGGCGGACCCATACCAGGCACTGAGCAAATGGCTACATGGGGACAGGACCCTCAGCTGGGTCCTCAGCACACTGCCAGGCCGCTAACAGCAGCGGGGATTTCATTTTAGCAGATTTCTCGTTGGGTAGGCTTGCTGAGCATCCTGCCATAAACTTGCAGCTTTACTCCCAGAATGCCCCTGGGTCTGGGGCAGATTCATTGTCTGAAGTATAAGCTTTAAAGGCCAAGGGCATCTCAGCATCTCTAAATGAGGAAAGGAGTGCGGGAGAAAGGGATAACTACTCCTCAGGCCTCTGCTTTATGGTGCACTTCCAGCCTGAGCTAATAAGCAAAGTGTCTTACATAAAAATTTAGGGTATGGATTTAAAAGTCTTTTTCAGAATGTCTACAAGACATTCTTTCTTTGACCCCAAGTTATCTGACTTATTTTATCTCTGCCTTCCACCCCCAAATGGCTACCATCTTATTGCTTTAAGTAGTTCTTTTATTCGGAGCACCTTTTCCCTTGTCCACCTGTCCTCCCAGAGGCAAGGTGGTGCAGGGGAAAGCCTTGGAGTCAGAAAACTCAGCTCGAACATTCCAGTTCTCCCACTTACCCCTCTGAGCCTCACTATTCTTCTTTTTAAAAAAAAATAAGATTCCTTTATTTATTTGTTTTGTTAATCCTCACCCGAGGATATTTTTCCATTGATTTTTAGAGAGAGTGGAAGGGAGGGGAGAGACAGAGAGCTGGTAGAGACACATTGATTGGTTGCCTCCCGCAGGCACACTCATCAGGGCCAGGCTGCAGGCTGACACTCTATTCACTAAGCCAAATGGGCTAGGGCTGAGCCTCATTATTCTTACCTATAAAATGATACTTATCTCCTAAGGTGACGGTAAGTATTAAAGCACATGTCGAATCCCTACAGGGGACTTGGCACACATGAGGAACTCATAAAATTGTGAAATTTTAGCATCCTTCCTGGTGGGTACCCTCCCTGCCCCTCTTCTCCACACTGTAGTCGCCTAGAGAGGAGGGGCCA